TCAGCAAAGCGTTGGCGATTGCCGCCTTTAAAAATGGTCATAGAGTAACCGCAAGGCTATACGTGTTGATGCGTCGATATCTCAGTCTGGATAATTTCAAAGATAATAGTTGATATGCGTTGTAAAGAAATTTCTTTCACATACAGTTGATGTGGAAAAGCGCCATTCGTTCGCGCGTGAATTCTGGCCAGAAACATAAATGCAATGAAATTCTGATTCTGGATGCGGTTCTTTGAAGCTCTGTAACGTTCTGATAGATGAAATTCGAAGCCAACCTCAGCCATCATTAGGTAGAACATAAATAGCTTTCCAGTGGTTTGCTGTATCTTTCCAATGGCGGAAGTCTGATGAAAAAATCGGCTTGAAAGAAGGCTTGGATAAACGGACATTATTTATGCATCTATCAGGTAAAAGGGGTACGGACCCTTGCCTGAGGGTGTAGCGTTGTTATGGTGTATTTGACATGAGATCAGACTATCTAAGTTTATACAAAGAGATATATACATGAAAGATGAAGGGAAGGGGGAAGGGGGACTGGGAGCTAGTAGCCAGTCATGCATGTTGTAACTCTCCACTCTTTTTTCTTTCTTTCTTTTTCCGTATTACAACGTGGCTGTAATGTACGAGGTACAGAGAGGTACTGATAAACAAGATCCAGTAAACAATGACTACATGATCCTGATGCAATGTTACATCGGCATGATGAGTCATATCCTGACACATCTTTAACCCGATATAAACAAGTAATGTGGGCTTTCTATGTTGAATAAGCAAGTTTTTATAGGGGTCCGAAAAGGTAGTTACAAGAACAATCATCGGCTGACAATTATCTATTTTTGTTGTTAATAAGTTATCACCTCTCACAAACGTCAATTTCGAGTCAGCACAACTTATTTCATAATAAAAGATTAAGAAAAACCTCCAGCCGATGATCGGTGCGGCGATACGGACATCTTGATAGTCAAAGATCGCTAGAATGCCGAAAAAATGTGGTGTAAGTCTGATGTTTACTGATTGTACTTTTTTTAGAACTGCTCGAAAATAAACTGATGATTCGAATGTCCCTCCTTCCGCTTTTGCCTAAGCGTAAGCATGGTTTATCTGGTCAAGTAGGGTAGGACGAACTCACCCCGATAAAACCAGGATAAGCACAGAACAAAGAATTGGATCTAGTTAAACAGTTTTTATAAGTGATGGTTGGTAATTGTTCGCCTCAAATAAGACTGGTAATAATTCTCTAGTAACCTTAGGAACCGGCTCGTGCCGGGCCCTGGTCGGATGACTTTTATGCTCAATTTTTCTAAGAAAATGGCGCCATTTGATTTTTCTCGATTTTCTGACCTCGCCACTGGTTTTGGCTGAGATATTGGTGATCTTCAATTGACCCGAAACTTCACTCACAGTAGTTTTCAAACCAATGTTAACGAAAATTCTAGTTATTTCGCGCTAAAGAGTTTTACAGTGAAGTTTTAAATGGAAAAAAATAGTTAAAGGTTGAAAATTTGTCTGCACTTATAGACAGCAATTTTAGCGTTTTTAACATAAGATGCGATGGATTAACATAAGATTGGAAATTTAAATGTCTGTATAGTCCTTGCCAGATGGATTTCCTAGATAGATAGCTTTTTTGATTGTTATGCTAAGAATGTATCTCACTATTTTGAAAACAGGAACTGCAGTGAATTTTGATTTACAGATAAACATCCATTAACCGCTTGCTCTCGTCGCACAGCTTCCGGCAGCTGATGCCTTTCTTAGGTAGTGCCTGAGGATATGAAAAAGACGAAATCTTCATTGTAAATTTTAGGATCTCATGTATACTACGGACTGAAACATTGATTTCAGGATCGCGTGCCTGCGCGTAAGCTTTCGCACAAAGGTCGGTCATCTAAATCGTCTAAAGTGCTAGCATTTTTCTAAAATGGAGCCCTCTACCAAAGGTTATATTTTTCTCTGATAGCCATATTAATTTTGCCTCCTTGTACGGGCTATCCTACTGAGAAATAGGCAACCAAGTTAAGTAAAGTTGCCAAGCTTTCCGGGGATTCGCGATTGAAGCGATAACCACTCAGCAAACCACAAACGTCTGTGGCCGTATTCATCAATGAACTCAACGGATTTGCTAACTGACCGCGCTTGTGGGAAACCATATTGAGTTTAGATAGTGCAGCTTTGCCTAGGCTGACTAACCCAATATGTCAGCAGCGTGCCCATAGTTTTACTCAAACTTGACCTGATCCCCTTGCCGTGCAAGCGTATTGGATGGATGTATACGGATGCTATTTTTGCTCAAAAGCATCGTCCAACAACACTGATGATGGTGAGATTTCGATGCTGGATTAGAGCGATCCCTTCAAGCATGAATTTCAGGGCGAATAAATGCTGTAGAAGGTACAACTCAGACAATCGCCGGGGGCAGGCGGGCACCGGAAAAATAGATTGCTGATCTCTCGCACCCCGCTCGCGGATTTTTTGGAAGGCAATCAGGACTTTTCGGAAGACCGCTTGCTGAGTTCTCGATTCCTCAGAGATTCAGCAATATATCCGCAAAAGATAAGAGCGAAAAAAATTCAACAGGCGGCCTCTCAAAAATCCGCTGACTCAGCGAGCGGTCTTCCGAAAAGTCCTGATTGCTTTGCAAAAAATCCGCGAACGGGGTGCAAGAAATCAGCAATCTATTTTTCCGGTGCCCGCCTGCCCCCAGCGATTGTCTGAGAAGTGGCCAAGGAGGCTCCGAAAAACTGATGGCTCGAAGATAATGAGCTCGAAAGTGGGCTCTAGAGTAAGAATGTAAGAATCATAATCATGATGAAGGGTGGATTTATGAGGAATCTACATTAGAGTTTATTTCATTTTCAGTCCATTAACATCTTAGAATTCCCACGCAGATGGGTGGAGCTATCTTGGGCGCTTTTACCTTCTAGAGCAATTTCCTTACTTTAAGAATCCTTTGCACTTATCTTTTCTTCGTTAATAGGAAGCGGTTAAAATTTCAACACCTTCGGTTTAGGATAATGGTGCCTTTAGAGTCGAAATTACTACAGGAAGGTCAGGGTGTATAGTTTATGAAGGAAATGTCGCAAACATAATTGCTTGCGTTAATCATTTTTTGAGTATCGTCATCAGGTTGTCCGGAACTAGTGCCCGTTTGAATTTCTACTGCAATAAGTCGTTGCTTTCAATTTCTAAATGGGTTTCATAGAGTTCTTCAATAGAACCAAGCAAGTTCTACAAGATGATCGAGAAGCCAGAAAGATTGAACCGTCCGAAAAATTGAAATAGAATTGTGACTTTGTCCGAAAAATCCTGCAAATGCTAGCTTGTTCATGCAGGCAGTTTCCACACCACCATTTATGAACACCGTTGTTGTATTTTTTCTTCGTCAAAATTCAAAAAATGTCATTATGGTTTTGCCAAAGTGATATAGTGATCTAACATAAGTAACTGTATACTATTATACAAACCTGTAGAGGTACAGACGTTAATTTTGGCTTTCGACAAGCTCTTTAGTCTTCGAGAAATATGGATCCTAGCGTGTGACACCAGGGCCCGTAGTACCCCCCCCCCCTTTTGTTATGGTCGCGACATTCGAAACATCAAAGGTGCCAAGTACGTGTCGTTTCGGCCGCGATTCATCCGGCGGCTATCTCTTATCAAGGCCGCGCGGTGAAATCGCGCGGCATCGTGACTACAGGACGTGCTCGTCCTCCTCCGCAGGCAGACAAAGAAAAATAGTGCGCTTAGCCTAGAGACGCAGGAAGGCACGACCGACTAGGGTTCGAGTACGTCGCGTTGGTCCTGTGCGCAAGGGCCGTATACACACGGTACTAGGTTCAACGCCAACTACAATCGATATCAACAGCTAACTGCGCCAAAATGTCAGCGCGTTGAGCGTTTTCTGTGCATTACCGTTATAATACTCCATATAATTTGAAAAAGGTGAGTTTATCTCGATTTTAGAATATGTTAGAAATCTACATGATCTTAATTCTAGTGATTCAGCTTATTTTTTCTATTTTATCTCGCAGTGCAACTCATTTGCTCATCAAACTTGTTCTACATATCATAATTCCCTTATTTCTACCATCTTAGCCATTTTCATGGTGTATGCATTCTTGCTTTTCATTAGCTAACGTACCTCTTTGATCTAGGCATAGGAACCGTCTGGCGTCTTCACTAATGGAAAAGCACATATGCATAAGCACATTGCATCATGTATTGGGGATTTGAAAAATTGTGACGATGATGCGACCGCGCGCGACACGCACTCACCTCCCGGCAACCGCTACTTTCTTGGTTTTCATCTCTACTCAAATGGTTTTCCTGCTTACATATGATAGCATTTAGACACCGGAAGTGACTGAGCTGAAAGTTGAGGTTATGCCTTTTTGTTTCAGCGTGTTCTACTCCTGTGGGCGCAAAGACCGCAGTCAAATCCGTCATCACGATTTTATAAAAGGCTATAAGAGAAATGAATATTTTCCTTTTTTGCACTTTTTCTTCTCAGTTTTCAATGGTCAAGTTTCACAATTCACTCTCATCTACTGACGAAAAAGTTACTAATTTACTAATTTATCTTATTTACACAAAAACCCATCTATTGAGCAGCTTGCAAAACTTAGGCTACCGCGGAAATCGTACCCTTCCCTTCAGGCACAGCAGCACCCGATACTCTCGCTTTTATAAACTATGACCCCATCCCAACATGCTCCAATTCAAGATACTGAAATACCTGCATACTTACATGCACAGTTTGTAAAGGGTTTAAGCTTAAACAACAAGAAAAACGAGGTGATTGGAAGGCAAACGCTCCCCCATTGATTCTAGGCCCCTCCCCTTGCTTAAATATCAGCTACAGACCATCAGGACTACAGCCGCAAATATAGGAGGACGTCATGCGTTGAATTTCGAGGAAGTTTGTTTGGAAATGTCCGGGAATTTTCGACCAACCTAGTAGTTTGCAAAGATGATTTATGCAATATCAGAATTACAAAGAAAACTTGAAATATTAATCAAACTTTATGCATTGCTCTTCAAGTTTCACAAAAGCTGAAAGAGAGATTCTTGACAATGCCTAGTGTTCTTGAAGACGTTTTGTTGCTTCCTCGCCTAAATAATCTTCATCATAAAAAAATAAGTAGGAATTGTATTTTACTTGTGAGAAATGCTGCAAGCGCAGGTATCTTTTCCTTGATATTCTCTTTGACATCATCAGATAAGGCATTGAACTTTTCAACGAAGCCCAGTGTAAACTCGTCCGCAGCAGAATCAGGCAATGCTTTATACTCGTCAAGGAATTTGCTGTTCCACATGAATTCCGTTATCTAAACACAAATTTTATTTGTATTGAAGAATGACTGAGTAGCCTACATTTTCAACAAACGCTTGCGCTTCGGGTTTGAGCTCAGCAAGTTGTTTCTTCCTTAGATCAAACATGTTTTTCACCCTTGCTCCGAGATCTGCAGACTTCTTTATCAGTTCAGCAAAAAACTGTAATATGAACTCGTAAATCCATTAGGTAAATGTGCAGTATGCATATCAAGTTATAATATAAATGAGTCGGCGGTATTCAAAGAATAAACAAAGATTTAAACAGAACATCTGTAGGCGTTTTTCTAATTAACATAACAATCACTAAAATTTCGAAGTTTGTGTAGCGCCTCATCAATAACTGCATTTCCTTTGCGATTCACCAGGGACAAGCAAGAGTGTGGCTACGACCGCTAGATACCACCCTCTGAGATAGGATTGTAATTGCTCTCAAGTGTTTTTCACTTTCGGCAGTTATGCTTCTGGCTTTTTTCCGGCATAAGAATGCTGAAGAGTTTATGCAATTTCAGATGCGTCTAACTAATAAATTTAGAATGCCTTTGAACTTTGAAAACTTAAATTTGTGTAATCTGTTGTTCAACTTGCAATAAAAATCGCTGCTCTCACAATCCCCTCCCCCTCTTAGGGTTGCATGCATTAACATCCCCACCATTGAAGGGATTGTAGCTTCAGAAGAAAGCTTCATATCCTGAAGCTCCAGATATCTGATTTCACGCTGCGTGAATACCCCACCATCCTTCATTATGAACTTCTTGAACGGGAGCAAGAAGCTGTACAAGCCGCAGCTGGTCATCCCTGGCTGCCGACCGTCTTTTCTTTGTAGTCACTTTTCTTTTTGCGAAGTCAATGAATATATTCCAAGGTTGTGCTGTTTAACTAACCCAACAGTGCTAATCATGTTTCTGGTAAGAACATGTGATGTTTTGAAGTTATGAAATTTGCAATGAATCACAAGCAAAATTGGAGCTCATCGAAAAAATCGATATTGCAAAAACTTATTTGTCCTTATCAGCACATGCTTAGCACTGTTGGGTTAGATAAACAGTACAATTTTGAAAGGTTTTCCTTAACTTTGAAGGAAGTAATGTGACTTTGGAGAAAAGACGTTCGGGCGCGGGATCATCAAAGGTTCATACAAAAAGCCGAAAAATGCGGCTTGTACAGCTTCTTGCTTCGTTCAGTATGTTCATAGTGAAGGTTGGTAGAAATACTTACAAATGGGTAACGTGAAATCCAAATATCTAGAGCTTCAGGATACGAACTCTGAAGCTATGATTCCCTCCCCGGCGGGAATGTTAATGCACACAATTAGCATCTCGGTAGATCTCCAGCTTTATCGTCTGCCTACCTAGGACATGAGGCCTACCAACCACAATAAGCAAAATATTCGTAATCAGCGGGTCAAATGACCTTTTTGGACCATTTTTTAAACCAAATCTGAGTTTCAGACATTGTGCCACCTAAATGAAGTGACCATTCAAACATGATGATTGTTTTATATGTGAGTTGGCTAACACTTTCTGCACTCATTATAAAGCACGCTCCTTGTTGCCCACGAGAGGATTTTTACTTCAAATAACTGCCAAACTAAAAGCCGCCAAAATCTCGCTTTTTTTCCATTTTTCGCTTTCCGTGATTGTGATCAGCAACTGCTGCACAGACTAAAGAAGACCAGGCGCAAACCAAGACCAGAAGACCAATCAGGCCCATTACTCCCCTAAAAACTACGAGGTTCAAGTTGTCCAACTATGTAATTATTATTAAAGTTTTCATGGAGAGTGATAGATGTGGCGCAACCTCAAAAAGTCAGGCTGTCCAGCTTTTTGAGGTTGTGCCAGAGACATTCAGTTCCCTTCGAAGCATCCTCAAATCTAGGTTTCTATATAATTGAAATTGTTAATTTTCCTTCTCTGTGATAGAAGGTATATCTGTGGTATATGAAGCGTTTCGATCAAGTTTATTTTGACAGCTGAAAAGCACAAGCGGCGAATCGAGACTCTGCATTTTATGAAGTTTTATGAGGTTTTTCCCCTTCAGAGATTTTTTACCTTCTTGAAAATGACAGAAGTTCGGTGCATGTGGTGCCTACACAAATATAACAGAAGGCTAGAAAATTGATTCTATGCGCCAAAAATTGAGCGCATAAAACATAATCGCGGAATCATCTGGCTAAAGCTGTTGGGCTCCACATTATTATTCTTGTCATTGTACCGCGAGTAGAATGGCTTTCGATATTATCCTCATTGGAAATGCGTAGAGATGAGAACCAGATGTCGCACTACTTTGAAACTTCTCATACTTTAGTCACGTCCACTTTTGCTCGTTAGCTGCGACGCTGTATGCGGAGCTTCAATCGTATCAATCTTTACTCGTTGCAAAAAGAGCCCGAATTCTACATTTTGCAGACTTTTACACTCTACTCACATGTCAGATTTCACTGAAGTCATTAGTTTGATTTTATCTGGTAAAAACATGTTTACGAAATGTCGATAGAGATTAGATAGAGATTAGAGATTAGATTTTTTCGATAGAGATTCTGCATATTGTTGGAAAGCTCTCTTCATGTGCTCTCTAGCCGTGGTGGATTTAGACATTTATCGCATCTGTGAGGATTAAACCGACATTTTGCACATCTGCACTCAAAATCGGAATTCAACTGCTTTAACTTTCTTGGCCACAATTCAGGCGCAAATGAACGAATTTCGATGAAAACATAGCTACTGTATGGGGTGAATATTGTTTATATGTTGCAATTCAAATAATTTTTTCGAGTACATGCTGGGAAATCGATGACCCAAAATAGATACTCGCTGCTTGGCATTCTGTAGGTAAAAATTTTTTGTGACCTAGGCCCGCATGCACGTACATCCCCGCGAGGAGGGGAAGGGATCTGAGAGAGGAAGCACCATATCTTGCTACTCCAAATATCTTTTCTCCTTCTTCTCTATCTTGCTTATAAAGGTTCTCATGCCCTTATATCTGCGCATGATGGATGCCAGGTTACTGCTATACAAAATTAAATATTCACTATCTTTTCCAATCCCCTGGGGATCCCAGGAGATCACCTCACATTTTCAAAGTCATTTGTCTTCCTGAAAATCAATGAAAACGCTGCAAAATTGTACCGAAGATATACTACGATACTGCTGAGTATGTTTTCGACAGAAGAAATGGAATCTGAAAATTTTGATTTTTTCGACAATCCATTTTACTCATTTCTACCATAATCATGTGTAGTGGTGCTGTAGAACATCCTCAGTACGATTTTAGAGCATTTTCATCTAGTTGTCTGAAAGATAAATAACCGAAAATCTGAGGTGATCCCCTGAAGATCCCCAGGGGATCAGACGAACTAGTGATAATTTTGTATGGCAGTAACCTGGCATCCGTTATGCGCAAGTATCAGTGTATGAGAACCTTCAAAAGCAAGACAGAAAAAGAAGAAGAAAGATACATAGACTAGCGAGGTATGACGCTTCCCCTCTCAGATCCCCTCCCCTCTTCGCGGGGATGTACGTGCATACGGGCCTTAGGCAATCACCGAAGCTCTGCCCATTTCTGTATGCTTGAGGTCAGTACATCTAATGCGTGAAGAATTCCAAACCTTCATAGCTTGGGACTTTCTGGCATACAATTTTGGACTTTTGTCTTTCTTTTCGCAGAACTTCTTCGTTGAAGTATTTTTTATACAAAGATATACTGCTGGCTCGCGTCTACAAAATAAGTTGATGAGCAGCCATAGGACCAAAACTTGTAGGAAGCTGTAATCTCTCACGAGGTCTTCGAATGAAAATCTTTTGGTTTTTTGCCGCATAGTTTTCTTCCTGTTCGCGTATCAGTGCAGGCGCGCTAGGTTATGGTTCGCTAGATCAAGGCTTACCGTTTTCTAATGGTTTTGATAGCAAAAATGTGGAGACTGAGCAAAGTTATAGCTATTCGAAGTAAAAAATTGCAAAACGGTCATTATTCTTGCAACAACCTAATAATTTGCTATGCACTACTCGCTTTGCCTGAAGCGTCATACTGATAATACGTTACCTACTTCAAATCATTACAGAAAACTACTGTATGAGCTGTTCTCAAAGATATGAAGTGATTTCGTGCTATTACCCATCCCCTAGTGGAAGCTTGTTATGCAGATAAATGTAAAATCTGCAGTTTGATCATACATCGCTCGTGGCAAATTGTTCGAATTCAGTACAAAACTTTTGGGAACATGATTTTGTAAGTTCACGATATTGCGACCTCTAAAACGGAATGGGTTGATCGCGGTTCGATGAATTTATCACAGAGTTTGGCATGTGGGCGAAAAGTGCAGGCGACTTCGAGCGGCAACCCGCCCGAATACGCCTAAATTCGCCTGAACCCGTCCGAATGCGTCCAAACCCGCTTGACACCGGAACTGCCCAAAGAAGGGGATTGCGTGGTTGGCATAAAACTCACCTAAGGTCAGCCAACATAAAACGAAATACCAGGACAGACGCAAAGTCGATTCATCCTTGTAATATCCGAGTAGTTGCAAATGAAAACCGGTATGTTACGTCGAGCTATGTGTGACCACCCACAGTATTCTACGAGTGCTCCATTATGTCAACTTGCATGTCTTCTGCGCTTTGGCAGTTCCGGCGTCTCAGGCGAGTTCGGAAGGATTTGGACGGGTTCAGACGGTTTCGCCGGATTCGAGAGGGTTCGGACGTGTACCGGCGCGTCCGAAACATGCTTTAGCTTCATTCCCCTTGCTACAAATTTACTGTAAGAGTAGAGTTAGTAACTGAAATTAGCTGGAACAGATAATCTTTACTATTAGGGTGATCCAAAAGTAATGGGGCACCTTGATTTTTTTTAACATTCTTCAAGATCTCTTTCTGATTAGTTAAGAACAACCAGTAATTTGAACGCTTTTGTATAAAGTGATTTTCGCAGGTTATCTTGACAGCACCCTGCAGCACCTCACCGACATTTCTTCGAGCGGCGCTTCAGAGAAGTCAGACAGACTCTTTTGAACGCCATCCGAATTTGTGCTGCTGCATCTGAAAGTCCCTCGACATGTGGCATACCATTCGAAAGAGCTTTCCAAGCTCTTTCTTATGATTACTTGAGTATTCAAAAATTGCCCATTATTTCACACAAAAAAGGGACTTTATTTAAAAAGTGTGGTGTTTGGCGCAGATTTTCAGACTAAAATTCATGTTTTGACCCATAATTTTTTGAAAATGAGAAAAGTCGAAGTGATTTGCATATGTATGGATAGAGCGTAAAAAGCACTATCAGAAAGCAACTGTTGAGGTTGAGCTTATTTGATTACCTTGATGAAAAAATAAGTAATATGTCTCCTGATACTCAATGCTATATCTTCTGTTCTAAAGCCTTGGGACCACCGAGCTATCGTGGATTTGGTGACAGTCCCCTCATCCATTGCTGTGCAGATATCTTTGGTAGGCTCACTTGTCTTATTGCGGCGATGCTGCTCAAAGTTCAAAATTAGTTGAAGTGATGACCTTTGATTTTGAGCGCTTATAAAATTAACGCAATGTGACAGTGCCCATCTGTGGAACTCGATCAGAAGGTTTTGTTATGTACTAACATCTGCCAAAACTTGGACTTCCAATTAGCTTTGTTCCTTGAGAAAACTACATTTATTCTCTAGGTGCCCCATTACTTTTGGATCACCCTAATACAAGTTTGTGGACAGTTTTTAGAAACAGCGGGCTTAACCTTTAGAGGCAGCGTCCAGGCAAGTCTGGACACATGGGGATCTCACGTCGATAGTAATTTTGGGGCTCTAACTAAGCCGCTGCCCAACCGGCAGCTCAGGTAGTGCTTTAACGGCTGAGATATTCCCTCGAATTTGGACCCCAGGATCGTATTTCGCATGGATTCATGGCGGAACGTGAAACTGTCACAAATCGCCTCGCGCGAAACTGCCACGAATCTATACGAATACGATGCTGGGGTCTAGTTTGGAGGCGTATATCTCAGCTGTTAGTAAGTCACCGGCACTGTCGTTTGGGCAGTGCCTTAGTTAGGGCCCAAAATTACTTTTCACGTAAAATCGCCATAGGTCCAGATTCTGGACGCTGTCTTTAATCTAAGGCTCAATATTTTAGCCGACCTGAGCTTCTAGACAAAAAAAACTGAAGAAATTTACAAAACGTACTCATGGTACCCAGCCAATTTAGGCACTATATACCAGAAGCTGACGTCAAGCTGACGAAACCTTTGCTTGTTCAGTCTCCACTTTGGATCGAGATGTGCCTCAATCTTGGTGAGTCGGTGAGTCCGCTGGCCTCGCCGAAGATGAGGGTTTTTACGGCTCAGTGCCTTCATTGCTTTATAGTGGAAATTAAGTATTGCTATGACTGATCGTTATTTATTGGTCTTTGTAATTTTTGAGAATCTTTTGGGGGACTGAGAATCAATGATGATTGATGCGGGAGAGGTATGGTGTGCAGAGTTTGAGGTTGGTGTGATGCACATTTGGCAGACATGACTGCTAAAAGACATGAGAAACTCCAAAGATCGTCTGCAAGCATTCTTGCAGCTGACGGTCTAAATTGGGGGTCTGCTTCAAGAGTCCCTTTCAAGTGCTTATACCCGAAATCTTTCTAGACATTTACAGACTCTAGCTCCCGTTGCCGCTTTTTTGGCATGAAACTTTCGAACCGATTTCGCCTAATCTATTGGGTAGTCCCATAAGTCTTTCCATATCTGACTTTCATGATAAGAGTTCAGTTCTTCTGTTATTTCCAATAGGAAGCGGCATAGAGAACAAAGCAAGCTCTACAAGTTGGTGTTCAAAAGTTCGCAGTAAGCAATTGATCAGCAATTTGTGTTGTTCGAATTCCAGGCAAACTTGAAAAAATTTCCGATTTTCCGAAAAAAAACAAAATTAACCGCACCTCAGTTTAAATCATCTCCGCGAATTTCCTACTCGCTCACGCATATACTCTCCCCATCAGATATTCATAAATGAACTTGCTGTATTTTTCTGATGGTTAGAACTCACAAAAAAATGGTGGGCTAAATTTTCTTTTGTCTGTAGCGGTTCTGTGTTCTTGGCAAATATGCGATTATATAGCTTACTCACTCAGAAATACTGCCACAAAATTGCACGTTTGTCGTGTCGGTGCCCTAGTTTTTTAGAATTATCAATTTGAAGGTTTAAATATAAAAAGACTTATGAGAAAACCTAATAGAAAATATGACTTTTCAGTTGCGTCTTTCCATTCAGTTTTGTAGACCTGCAAACTCTTATACAAAGCAATTGGTTTTTGGTAAAATTCGTGATTGGTGTATTAATAATCACACGAACTAAAGGACATTCTGTGCAAATCATATACAGCAACTCCTACCATCCCCGTGACATATTCTGAGATAGAGCACCTGTCGAGCATACAAGTGAAAAAACATTCCTGAATTTGATAGTATGATACCTATTTGAGCAGTCAAGATATTTCAGAAATCTTTCCACTCTAATGATATATTTTATGTGACTATAGCATAGAGAATTACCTCTTCCTCACTCCTAAGTTTGATAGTCGAGACAATTTTTTCTAGGACAGCCCTCTCTTCACGACTGAAACTATAGAGAATATCTTCACCCATGAGTTCTAAATGATTGCTATGACATACACATACTGCGACAAAAAAATCTTACCCGCAGTGAACCACCAAACTTTCAGGAAAGCTTTCATTGCAAACATATTCGCCTTGAAAAGAGGAAGCTCTAAACTATTACACTATCTTGGCTTGTATCCTGTGTGCCCCAGAAAGGTTCCCATGTGAGCCAGCTTGCGTACGTCGTGCGACGCTGCCTTTCGCTCTTTTTGACATGTTTCTTCCTAGATTTCAACGGAACTGCCCGAAGTTTACAGTTCAAAAGAGCGAAAGGCAGCGATATGACGTGGTACCTATGAGAATCTTGCTGGGCAACAATCGATACAAGTTCTGAGCTAATTGTCCTGAGCAAACACGTCAAAATTTCCCGCGTGAGACCCATTGCCGTGGGGCGCATTAAAGGCAGCGTCCAGGCGAAATCTCGACTTGTCTATTTATGCCTTATCCAAGCCTCTTCACGACTCTGATCCCAAATATGGCATTCGAAATGCGTGAGTTCTCAGAATACCGCATTTTTTAGGCAATTTTGTAAAAAGCCTGGACGAGTGCTTCTATTGCAATCCTTCTCGAAAGAAAGCATTTAACACGTAGACACTATGTGTTCCATCCTATTTGCCACGTGAAAACACGTCAAGGGCTGTGGAGAGTTCGTTCAAGGAGGCGGGTCGTTCGAGAGAATAGGCGAACGGCCCGCCCCCTCAAACGAGCTCTCCTCAGGCCTTGACGTGTTTTTACGTGGCAAACACAATCGAACACATAGTGTCTACCTGTTAATGCTTGCTTTAGACAAAGATAGCATTGGGAGCACTCGTCCAGGCTTTTCACAAAATTGTCTCAAAAATGCGGTTCTTTGAGGAACTCACGCATTTCGACTGCCATATTTGGAATCAGAGTCGTGAAGAGGCTTGGATAAGGCCAAAATAGACAAGTCGAGATTCATCTTGAACGCTGCCTTTGAGTAATCAGATTCCGAGAGAGAGAGAGAGAGAGAGAGAGAGAGAGAGGGAGAGACCGCTTCGCAGAGTGCCCGTAGATCGATTAATTGGTAGAGGAGCTTACCCATATCTGTCTTCGTAAAATTGCTTACTTCACTCATGTTTGAGTTGGAGGCAGCACTCGCAAGGTAGAGAATAGCAATGAGTAGTTTCATCATCTCTGAAAATGTTCGTGTTGAAATTTAGCTTTTTATTTGAAATCAATGCCAAAAAGACCATGTACGGACTTCGCGACTGAAAAAGTCGGAGTGGTTCCTAAATATTAGGTTGTCCGGAAAATAATGTCGCATCGTGTTTTAGCGTGCAGTATCGCGACAGGGTGAGCAAGAAAGTAAGTAGAGTACCAACCCATAGATCAAAGCAAGCTCTACAAAATGAAGCTCAAACCTTCGCGCCATGTTTGATTTGAGTGAAGTTTGGAGCCACATTTCGTAAAGCACTAAAGATCCGAAAAAAGGGAATAATCATATCTCTGTTCAAAAAAAGTCCTAGGAACCCCTAACTTGCTCAAGCATGGACTCACTATATGACACGCTCGTATGCACATTTTCGCGGTTTTCCCATGGCTGGAAATTGAGAAAAACGAAGTTTGGTATATTTTTGCTTCCTGAGAGAGATCCTGAGCTTTTCTCAAATAGGTGATTCTATAGTATGAACCTTTGAAATTATAACCATGAATTTTCAGCTTAAGACAAGCGCTAGTTTTCGAGGAAAATCAAATTGTTTCCAAAAAAAAGAAAAACGCGACATATTCGCACTTTTGGCCTGTAGTTATTTGTCGTAGTGTAGCCATGGAAAAATACCACAAATTATACAGGTGAATGTCCAATGTGGAAAGTACATGCATGTGGAAATTGGAGATTTCTAAGACGTCTGTGGACGGAGATACGATTTCTCGGGTAACTGAAATTTTTCTTATTTTGAACTAGCTGGCTTACCCGGCTCCGCCGTATCCGGACCAAACTTGGCACACATACACTTCGGGCCCCGGCGGGTGTCACAGTCCACTTTTCGTTATCGATTGATGTCGATTTTACCGATTTTTATCGATTTTTTTGCAGAGTTCACCTACAGGGCTAGGAGTTGGCACAGGGGGGAAGTGAGCATGGGGATTCCGAATACAATATTAGTTTTCAGAATTATCGATTACTTTTATTGATTTTATCGATTTTTTGTAAATTTTGACATGCGAGGCTGGGATTTTGCACAGGGGGGTAATCGAGCATGCTGATTACGAACACAATATTAGTTTTCAGGATCGTCCATTACTTTTATCGATTTTATCGATTTTTTGTAAAGTTTGACCTGCGGGGCTGGGAGTTTGCACAGGGGGTAATCGAGCATGCAGATTACGAATACAATATTAGTTTTCAGGATCGTCCATTACTTTTATCGATTTTATCGATTTTTTGAAAATTTGAGCTAGGGGGCTGGATTTTGGCACAGGGGTGTAATCGAGCATGCTGATCACCCCCCTTGGGGATGATCAGCATGCTCGATTACCCCCCTGTGCCAACTCCCAGCCCCCTAGCTCAAACTTTGCAAAAAAATCGATAAAATCGATAAAAGTAATCGATAATCCCGAAAACCAATATTGTATTCGGAATCCCCATGCTCGATTACCCCCCTGTGCGAACTCTCAGCCCCGTAGCTCAAACTTTGCAAAAAATCGATAAAATCAATAAAAGTAATCGATAATCCTGAAAACCAATATTGTATTCGGAATCCCCATGCTCGATTACCCCCCTGTGCCAACTCCCAGCCCCGTAGCTCAAACTTTGCAAAAAAATCGATAAAATCAATAAAAGTAATCGATAATCCTGAAAACCAATATTGTATTCGGAATCCCCATGCTCGATTACCCCCCTGTGCCAACTCCCAGCCCCGTAGGTGAACTCAGCAAAAAAATCGATAAAAATCGATAAAATCGATATCGATCGATGACGAAAAGTAGCCTATGACACCCGCCGGGGCCCGTAGTGTATGTGTGCCAAGTTTGGTCCGGATCGGTTCAGAAATGGAATTTTCTATTCGGAACATACGTACACACATACATACATACAGACATACATACAAACAGACATTCAGCTTTATATATAAGATTCAAACTTCAGGTGGAGCAAGATTTCCACGAAGGTTTTGAACTACCTTGTACACCTTGCTTTGATCTATCGAATGATACTCCACTCGCTGTTTTTTTGTGGTTCACTTTGCCGCGATAAGATGCCATGCGACATTATTTTCTGGATAACCTAATACAATGATTTTGAGTAATACCAATTTGTAATAGATTTGAAATGACACTGACATTTACTCACATATTTAGTGCCAATTATTCCGTCATATTTTGTTGATTTATTTCAGTGTAGTCCAAAATGAGCCTTATGTTCTGTATATTATGTGCTTCACAATCACATAAAGGCTATACACTGCTGGACGCAATCACAAATAGACGTTCGAAATCACCGTATTTTGTTTCTTGTTTGACAGGTCATGTATGTTCATTCTATACATATGCCAGCAAGTTTTATTATCTAGGACGGCTCTCAATCTCTCTGATTTTGAACGCAGAGTAATAGAGAAAAGAGAAAAGCGATGATTTCCTGGGGACGCTCCAGAGGATCACACTGCTAGTTTAAGTCTTCCTTCTTTCATTTGATAAAAAAATAGTAAATAATGAGAATCTTTTGTGGCAGTGTTGGGCATGTTGAAACGAAAATTTTTTTGATAAACCTGGACCTGCGGGAAGTGGTCTATCGAAGTCGTCAACTAAATTTCACTTGTAATGAAATCAAAACCGAATTGGCATTATGTATGTTTTGATTAGAAAATTCCACCCTCGAACCGATCCGGACCAAACTTTTACAACATCCGTTAGGCCGTGTACGGCAGAACGAATGTTGTAAGCTTGCAAGTTTCAAGCTGCTGGGAGACAGTTGGCAAGAGAGGCGGTGAGAGGGGGGCCGATGAGCATGCTGATCACGAACAGTTGCCATTTGTGAGAATACCAGTACTAGAATATCCAAAGATTGTTTTGCAAACCTCACTCTACGGGCTGTGAGTTGCATAGGATGAAGTAAGTGAACATGCTGGTTGAAGTCAGCGTCCAGGCAAATCTGGACCTATGGGAACCTTAGGTGGAAAGTGATTTTGGGGCCTTAATTAGATCACCGCGCAAGCGGTAGCGCAAATGATTCACTCAAGGCTGAGATAAACGCCTCCAAATTGGACCTCAGATTTGTATTAACGGACGACTTGACCATGCTCGCATGCTTTCGAGCAAGGAATCGCGCGAAACTGAAGGACCGTCATTTGAAGTCATGCAAACGTGAGGTAAGTTGTCCGTTAATATGATCCTGGGGTCTAGTATGGAGATATATCAGCCGTGAGTCTATCTGAGCTGCCGCTTGGACAGCGTCTTAGTTTTGGTCACAAAATTACACGTTAAATCCCACATGTCCGTTTTCCCTTGCTGCATTGGAACGAGGGCGACAAAGATTTTGCTTATATGGGGTAGAAACAGGGAGATTTTTGAATTGAAAGGAAGAATTAACCTTTGATTCAAATGGCTTGGCTTTGGGAGCGGGTTTCTGTGGCCTAATTAGAGCCGCTCGCGCCCGCGACGCAACTGCATCTCTCGCGCGAGCGCTCTCTGATCATTACCTAGCCTTAATTAGTCATGAAGCCCCGCCTTCCCGAAGCAGCCACATAAATCAAATGCTGGTTCTGTCATGTTATGATGACAATAAGCAAAGCTGGGCATCCAGCTAAAGGAGCTTCCAGACCGCGCCGGTCGCCGCTTTTGCAGCCGTTAGCTGCTTTCGCGCCGGTTGCCGCTTTTGCAGCCGTTAGCTGCTTTCGCGCCGGTTGCCGCTTTTCTTGCCGAAGCGCAGTGGGTCATGCCATTGTCCCCCTGGCGCATGGGGCGCGAAAACTCAGTCATCAATCAATTCTTTGTGCTTTTTTATATCCTTTTCTAAATTTGTCTGTTATAGGCTGGTTTTGATGTAAAGTCTTCTGTTGCTCTAAGACTTGAAAAATTTACCGCTGAGAGCAGATGTGCTAAGTATCGCCTACGATCAGCTGGAGTTTACAAAGTAGACTGTTTACTGCGTCTTTCTTCAGTTTTTGTATGCTCAAGTTTTATACTTTTGTGGGTGATGCGACTTGAAAACCTGTTGCGATTTTGGAGAGCGTTTGTGCAAATCCATGACCCGCATCAATCACAACAAATATGAAACTCGAGCTAAACACGAAAATGAAGAAGGAAGTGGTAAGGAACATCACAAATAGGTAATGTGTTTACGCTCAGGTTTCTGCTGTGGGTGACTCAATGCTTACGTCCATGCATTATCATGAACTTGCACAAATGCTTATTAACATCCCGTCCATCTTCCAGACCGCGTCATTCAAGAAAGCGTGAAACTTGAGCGTAACAAAACTGAGAAAAAAGAAAGAATAGTACACTCTGTAAACTTCAGCTAATCGCAGGCGGTGCTTAGCGCAGCTGTACTCAGCGGCGACGTTTCAAATCTTTGAGCAACCATTATTGAAAGACTTATACCTCAAAACCAGCCTATAACAAAAAACCAGGGGAAAGACATGAAAAAGCATAAGAAATAGATTGACTAATGAGTATTCGCCCCGCTTGCGCGCCTGGGAGACAATGATATGACCCACTGCGCTTCGGCTGCAAAAGCGGCAATCGGCGCGAAAGCGGCAGCCGGGGCGGTCTGGAAGCTCCCTAAAAGAGCCTTCAGACCGCGCCGGTTGTGGCTTTTGCAGTCGGCAGCTGCTTTCGCGCCAATTGCCGCTATTGCAGCTGAAGCGCATTGTGTCAGATTTTGTTTTTGGAGAGTAGCGAGAGCCTATTGGCACTAAGTGCTAGGCGTTTCGACTTCTTTGTCATCACTCTTTTGTTTCCGAAGTTCTCTTCTTTGCTGTAGTAATTCATTGCAGATATGGTTCATTTGATTTGCATTCCGCTTTTTCGGTCATCTACGAGCTGGAAAAATCGACTCATTGTCGAGTGGAACCCTTTCAGTCTAAGTCCCGCTGTTTAGCTATTGCAAGACAAGGCGTTTTCGACGTCTTTTTCGTTTCGAAACTGTTTTACTATGCTGGCTGAGCGAATTGCGAATGTGCTTGCTTTGTTCTTCAAGCTATTCCATCATGCCGTAGGTGCGATTTAATTGCAGATCTCAAATTCTCTGTGCTATTTTTGCTTTTGGTACTTCACTACGCGATCTATTTCAAAGCGGAGTCATTTGGTGCCTTCTCCGTTCAAGGTATATACCGTTTACATCAGCATAGTAATGCTAACCTTGAGTAGTTAAACGAAACTTAGATCGGTAAGTGTACCTTTGAGTAGTATAGTGAAGTAGCTTCAAAATTAGAAAGTGCAAAAAACAGCGTTTTGCGACAATATCGTCCACTCAGCATAGTAGACCAACCTGAAATCGGAAAAGACATCGAAAAACCTTGCCTGCACAACCACACAGCAGAGCATTATCATCAAAACGAAAGCTGTGCAAAAACAGCAGCGTTCCGCAAAGATTTATACGCTCTCAGATTTGTGTAGAGGCGGGTTGCAGGCTTTCCCGGATTTTGTCGATAAAGTTTGCGAGAGAGTACGAAAAACAATGCTGCATGAAACTCCAACAAGTTCGCACTTACATTCAGGGAAAGTCCGCAATTTTCACTCCTTAATGACTCCTTAATAGAAGTAGCATAGCTTCAAAACGAAAGACAAGCTTGAAGAAACTTTGTTTTCACCGAATCGATCGACTACCTTGAAAGAATAGCCTGGAAATGAATGAAAGACAAAACGCCGTTCATCACTTTTTTGCCAAAAGAAACAGCTCTACAGCGGGAGGTAGATTGAATATTCGACAGTGAGTCGATTACTCCAGCATCGTAGAACCTGCAATGAATTACTTATGGAAAGAAGAGGACCTTGGAAGCAAAAGAGTAGTGGCAAAAGAGTCGAAAAGCCCAGTATTTAGTGCCAATAGGCTCTCGCGACGCTCCAAGGACAAAATCCGACACAGTGCGCTTAGCGTGAATGCTGATTGGTGACAAGTATTAATAAACAAAGTGCTTGTATTGCTTATAGAATGGCTGAGAAACAAGAGCAAAAAACATTGAGTCATTGAAGACCAATTTTGTTTCTTAAAATCTTCTGTTTTTGTAGGAGCAGCGAAAATTCTATGAACCATTCTATGACTATTTACATCACCGTAATATTGGAAAATGTCTAAAAAGGCTATCTTAGCAAGACCAGAAGATTTTTAGGAAGTGCACTGTTTGTAAGACGTCGAAAATTAAGTTTGAGTAGAAGGCCGGCAAGACCATCTCTTGCACAGATGCCCACTGAGAAATGTGCGACTCTTTTATAATCAAAGAGGGCCCGCCTTATGCGGTGTGACGTGCAAAACCTGCTATGAACGTTTGCGGTGATAATGAAATAATTTTCTACGGGAATTTGCGACTAAAAACTGCGGAAAAGAGAAATATCTCTGCAAACCTGAAAAAATATTCAGAATGTAATGCTTCCGACTTACAGAATCTGTCGAACGCGATCACGTGAATCTGATAGTCTGTTTTAATGTATGTGTAGACAAGACCGACTCAGAACAAAACTGACGAGCCCCCGAAGACATGCGTTAGAACAACTCTAATTCAACATATCGATACCTTCAATAGTATTGTAGCGTATGCATTCTGTGGAAACGAACTCTGAGAACAAAGAAAACAGAAGAAGGTTACATTAGTGTTGTCTTCTTAACCTTAATCAAGTTCAGAAGTCGGTGCAAAAATGGAAAAGTCTTTTCATTGCTGCTCTTGATTAATCAACTTTTTTTCACGAGTACAAGACGCACCTATTTTTTTTCTAACACCGACCACTGAACACATCAAAGAATATCGTAACCAGGAACCTTCTACGTGCTGCTCCTTATTTAGAAGCATTCTGTGTAAGACCCACAATTTAGCGAGGCACATTGGTGCGGTCAATCTGCCTGCTTAAAAAATGGAAGAGATGTCTTGTATTTTTGAAGTAAAGATAAGTATTGATCTGAACTTCATTAAATGTGTAAATCAGAGGTTTATTATTCCCTCACGTACATTGCAGTGCGTACTTTCCAAAAAGGACCGCGAAGCGTCGCTTTCAAATTGCAATGCAGTGGGTTGGGGAGGGGGGGGGGGGCTACACAGAGCTAGGCATCGGTGGTCTGTAGGCAAGCTGGCGTGGCTTCCATAGTTTGAAGCAGAGATGATATTCTATCCTAAATGCTTCCAAACATCCTCAAAAGCTTGCAGATAAGATAAGAAAGTTTTGTAGCTGACATGTCCCAGAAGATGTTTCATAACGTAAGTGACTAAACTAATTTTGAATTCTTTGAACTTGATGACGTTCCTTACGCTCTCGCGGCAGGACTGATAATAAAAAGCAGAAGTTACATAATTTGAGCATAATAAGCTCTACAAAGTTTCTTTCGAACAATAGCAACAAGTAAAGGCAAAATAGTTTACTAGCACAACTAGTCATATTTTTTGATTTTTCACGCAAGCACTTACTTTACCAACTTTAAATCTTGTAGAGATGAAAGGCTAGAAGCTTTTTTTCCTCTGCAAGATCTTTAGGATAGATCTGCTTATGTAGGAACAGCTCAGCATAGCTTCTGAGCATCCAGTCTTGAACCCAATATCTAGCTTTGAAAGTATACAGCATCCATAAATTAATTTTTGATGTAGGCAATCTGCAGAGAAAATACAACATCTGTACTTGAGAATGTCTGATGCGGAGCGCCTATGAGTGCGGATTATTGCGCCTATTTTGCTTCTGCTTATTGCCCATAACAATAGGAGCAAAATATTAAGTTGTTGCAAAAATAATGTCCGTTTTTCTAGGCGTATATTCCAAATGACTTTTCTCCTTTAGGCTTTCTTTTTCGACAGATTCTGCACATCATTGGAAAGCTTTCTTTATGTACTTTCTAACGGTGGTAAAATTAAGCTTTTACCTCATCTGTAAGATTTTCACCAGCATTTTGCACAGCCGCACTCAAAATCGAAATTTCATTGCTCCAACTTTCTTGGCCACAATTCAGGCGCAAATAAACGAATTCTTCTGAAAACATAACTACTGTATAAGACAGATATTGTTTACTTATTGCATGTTTAAATAAGTTTTTCGAATATACCTGAACTGACAAATCGAGCTTCAAATAAGATACTCGCGGCCTGCAACTCTATGGGTTCGAAATTTTTCCTGATTAGGGCAATCGCTGAAACTTCGCCCATTTCTGTACGCTTAAGGTCAGAACATCTTATCTACAATTCATGCAGAAAATCTTAGCTATTCAGTGCATAAAGAATTCCAAGTTTTCATAGTTTGGGACTTCCTCACAAATAGGCTTAAAAATTGAACAATTTTGGATTTCTATCTTTTTTATTTCGCAGAACTTCTTCGCTAAAGTTCTTTTTATATAAACGTATACTACTGGGTTGCGTCTACAAAATAAGCTGATTAGCAGCCATAACAACAACACTTGAAGAAATTTGTAGTCTTTCAAAAACGAGGTTTTAAAAGCAAAGCTTTTGGTTTCTGACGCATGGTTTTCTTCCCGTTTGCGATATCAGTATATGCAGGTGTTCCTTAGATTAAGAAAGGTTTACTGCATCTGAAGGTCTTAACTGCATTCAAAAATATGAAGACTGAACGAAGTTATAGCTTTTCAAAGTGGGATTTTGCAAAACGGACATTATTTTTGCAACAACCTAATAGTTCAATAGCACGACTATGTAATTTTCGGTTTTTCACGAGAACATTTAATTCGCCAGCTTTGAATCTTGTTAACTAGATTTTACAGAAAGCTAGAAGTTCATAGTCTTCTCTACAAGGTCTGAGTATAGATTTACCTATGTAGAAACAGCGCAGCTGTAGCTTCTGCTAGAGCATCCAACCTTGACTCTTCCAATATGTATCATGAAAGTATACAGCATGTATAAATGAATTTTTCATGTAAACAATATGCTGAAAAAATACAGCATCTGTTCATGAGAATGTCTGATACGGAGCGCATATGAGTACGTGTTCCCACGATTTTTTGGACGGAGTTTTTGGTGTTTAGGTATTTGAAAGTTTACAGGTTTTGCTTTCAAACTTCGCCTGGATTGAACTTGCAATCGCTGAAATGCCATCTTGGCTTGACCCTCCTGAGTCGACATGTACTGAAGCTCATGCTCTTACAGTTATCCTATAGAGCTTGCTTTGCTCTATCGAACGGTACCCTGCATCCTAATTGGAGTGAAGTGTGCGGTTATTTCACAAGAAACTCAAAATTAAAAAAACCTCATAAGACAACCTAACAAGAAGAGACCTGACTTGGCATTGCACGTGCACTAGATATTCAAAATGCATAAAATTAGGTCTGAATAAGATGCGGCAAATTCAAATATTCGTCAAATGCAGGTGAATACCAGTTAGTCTGGCAATATGCTGCGCCAACAGAAAAAAGCAGCTCCTCCTTTTCCAAGTATTTCTTGAATATCTTTTTTCACTTTTTGTTTGATCTTCTCTCTTCTTCCAACGAATCATGGTTCCCTGCGGATCGCATCGAGCTATATATCTGAATGTAAATCTGGAGAAATCGTAACTTCTCATGATGTTTAGGATCAACTTGTTTTCATCATTTGTCAACCACTCTTTATCTATAAGGTTAGCCCGAAAGTTCTTTCGCACCAAATTCAAAAATTCATAACTTCTGATTTTTCCAACAGATTGGACTGCTTTTATTTTTGTATTGAAGAGTAAGTCATGCTCTTTAATGACATCTCAGAGGCTTACTAATTATCATCTCTTGCATAGATAGGAGCGATAGAAGAAAATTGGTCAAAATTCGAATTTTTCGTGTACGGTCATAAAAAATCGGAAACTTACAACAAAAATCGGAGCCGTCTATATTGTAGGTTTTTTCACCAGCTCTTTCTAACAGTGCAAAGTTTGCGCCGATTGAGTCTCTGTGAAAAGTTACGATTTTCGAGCAAGCTACAAAAGGGCAAATTTGATTTATTTTGGCATTTTTCAGGGAAATCATAACTTTTCATAGAGATGCTCAATCGGAGGAAACTTTGCGCCGTTAGAAGGAGCTGGTGAAAGACCCTACAATACTGACTGCTCCGATTTTTGTTGCAAGTTTCCGATTTTTTATGACCGTACACAAAAAATTCGAATTTTGAGCAATTTTCTTCTATCGCTCCTATCTATGCAACAGATGATCATTAGTAAGCATCTGAGATGTCATTATAAAGAGCATGAATTACTCTTCAATACAAATATAAAAGCTGCCCAATCGGTTGAAAAATCAGAAGTTACGAATTTTTAAATTTGGTGCGAAAGAACTTTCGGGCCAACCTAATATATCTCTTCTCGTCCTTAGCTCTGCTTCCTTTGTAGTTTGTTTGTAATCGGTGCCGTTCCGTGTTCTCTCCAATGTTTTCGAATTTCAGCTTCATAGCGCAAGTCAACTACATGTAAAAGAGGTCAATGCCATAATTTTCCTTCTATCATGAAGAGAATGCATGCACTTGAGTGCGTAAGTTTAAGCGCTAGACTCCTTACCTTCCTGCTGTTCACGAAAAACGCATCAGCAAGAGTCAAAGCGTAGTACACTGTTTGAAAGACTCACAATAAATGACTTATAGATTATGAGCTCTGGGTTCTAGTCTTCTCAAGTCATGAATTTAAAACGTACTCGTAGTTTACGTAAGTTACCTCTTCCCAATATAATGCAAACAGATGTGAGGGAACAATGAGAACTCAACAGCTATGCAACTACTTCTACATACGCTCAGATCCATCACCCAAAACATTTACAAAAATGGAAGTGGCTTTAGTAGACATGTGATGTCTTTTAAGAGATGGAGTAGATTGACGAGCATTCAGGTTTGTCGGCTTCGATCATGCAATTACTTCTCGCATCGTAATCATAATGTTCTTGAGACCAAAGTTTGTACTTGGTGCATTGTATTCCAATTCGATTTTTCAAACATGTTATCGTTGAGACATTCTCGCTCATAAATAACGTCAAGCAAAAAGTGTGTTTGATCATTTTGCTAACCTGTTCTAGTCCCATAAGTATAAATCATGATCTAGCGTGAACTATGAGGTTTTGTAAAGAAAAGTAAACGTTTCTTTAACAAAAAAATAGATGTTATTTCGGTCCTTTTACAAAAGGGTAATTATTCTAGTCAGGTAGCGATCGTTGCAATGAACATCCCTTTGACTACAGAATGAGGGAGCAACTAAACTTACTTTGAAATAACCATAGCAATGAGAGGGTGTGGCGCATCTCAAATGGGGGCGCAATCAGGACAATGACAAACCATAGACACTACTAAGAGTCAACAGCTCACCTCTCACTTAATCTTTGCCATGACCCTGACCTCATTGAAAAGGTCGATTTTTCTCACCTGTGGGTGCCGAAGAGTCATTTGCCTCGCGCTAGTGTTTGAGAATTGTAAATACTGATGATTTCTGGAGTTGCCTGAACCTCAGCTAATGGCAGGATTTCAGATGAGAAATGTGTTTGATTTAATTGAAAATAAAGGTTACATTGGCAGACTTGTTGGAGGACTAAGGAGGGAAGAAAAGCGCTTGTAAGGGGAGAAAGGTTGGGAAAAAAGTTGCGTCAAATGCGATTAAGGTCTTCCAAGCATCTTTGATTTGCGGGATGTGGCACCCTTTCAAAAAACTGGAATCACTTTTGGAATAACCTATTTCTTCCATTTACAAACAGATACAAACTGTGTCGTGTTTTTTGGTCAGATCAAGGTCAGGTCAATGCGGTGGTAGTGGTATAGATCATTGACCTTAGGTTTCGACGTAGTGTCGTTTTCGGAGGTCTGAAGTAGATTGCAGTTTTTTTCACCTGCGAAACGTTACAGCCAAACACTACTCCCAAATATCAATCAGTCTAGATTTCGTCCCGCGTCAGCGTACTGACAATGAGGCACACGGTGATGTAGGAGTAACTGACTATGTTGTTAGTAAGTTAGTAAGTTAGTCAGTAGCCGCACAGAGTAGACGGACGACACTGAGCATTGCTCAGCGAATTGTTTCCCTTCTACACACCTAAATACGCCTATCTGCGGTTGTTAAGCTTGATGTTTGCCATATCAAACCTCTTATTGGACATGTACTTGATTCCAAATGAATTTTTTACTGCAACAATGCTCGTAGAGTGGTTAATTTGGGGCGCTGATGCGACTACTTCGACTACATGTCCGGTTCGCGGGCTATTATCGCATGGTCACTTAGAATGTCGGTATTATAATTTGGTCTACGAAAATCTCTCACTGAAATATCCTTAGAAGTTGTCCTTGGAAGATCGACGCAGCCCTTCGCACCACTTCTGCTTTTCCGGCTCCCACTCTGATCAGCAAACGGCAGTAGATCGAACTAACCAATCCTCATTTCAATAAGGTTTGCTTACCAAGTGTTTTCAATACAGTAAGTCTTTTGTTTCTCTTGTTGAAGTCTCGGCATACTTAAAACTGTGTTAGTATTGCTTTGCCAGCACGAGGTTTGGGTGAAGCTTTATTAACATCAGTGGCCTAACGTTTCGACTACTCGTCCTCTTCAGAGGCCTAAAGCGGTGTGGGATTAGTGATCTTATGTCTGTCTCATCAAGTGTTTTATCAATCCTCGGCTAGCTTCTCGATCCCCTCTAGAGTTTAACAAGCAAAAATCGCAGGATGAGAAAGACGAACACACCTTTGCTTCACCGCCGGTGCACTTGGTGTTATGGTGCGACCGTATCCTTGATGATAGTAGTGCCAATAAGTCACATTTAGTGGCTTATTGTAGATGAAATTATCGCACTACCCTATCATAGCCCACATAATGATGAAAACGGCATGAAGTCATTCGTAACGGCTAAGCACTCGTTTTTGTTGTTCATAAGCGGTGTTTTGCGCGTGATCCAAAATGCTTCGAGAGCTTTCCGGGCAGAGGTATCTTTCTCGTATGCCAAAATTGTACATTTAACTTCGTAGTCTTGGTCGCAGTGATGTTCATGCTTAAGTTTCCCGAGAGGAGACACCAGACTACCCTTACGTTTATTGGCAAGATGTTCCTTGATGCGCCTGACCGAGGGATCTTCTCCAACCTAATTCTATGTGATTCGTTGGCACAAACCTCGAAGATTCTACAGGAGTTATTTGATTTTACTTGGACTTGTTCCGGCCTTGTGCTGATCGGTGGAGTTGAAGTACTCAAGGTGGAAAACGCAGTGATCAAATTTTGGCAACACTTTTTGATCCATTTTTTGAAAGCAATAGGAGATCTAATTTCTACCATAGACTGATGAAGAGAATTACTTCGTTTTGAGCACAAGGAAGCAGACTTCTTTTACTTTTGTAACCAAGTTAATCATATCTGAAAATCAAGCTTTCTAAACGTTATCAAACACTAAAAAATGTGATAGGTAGTGTTTGTAGAGCTCGTATAGGAATTTAGCATGCTCATTACGGAAATCATGCCCAATTTACACAGCAAGCCTCTTTGGTGACCTTACCGTACAAATAAGGCAAGATGAAGAAATGAAATTTGATAGAGACTTCGTTAGTGGATTAAGCAACATATTACATGTTATTATGTTATGTTAATACGTTAATATGTTATACCAATAGATCAAGACAGCAGCTCTCTCTCCGTGGAATAGTGATATCCACTGGTCTAGCGCTCTCTTCTTCACCAAACTCGGTCGTGGTATCTCCTCAATTTTTGAATAAAATCCGTTCTCGATTAAGGCCCCTCACTCCAGTTTTACCCCCAATACGACCCCCAGGTCGGGCGCGCCTTATTCCACCTCAAACCTGCTCCGCAGCCGCTCGCAGACACGCTCCAGTGCGTTCACTCTACAGCGACCCGAACGATTTTGTGCAGTCACTTCACAGCTCCCAATAGGGAGTGTATATATCGTCGAGTGGTCGACAGCACGGATGTTGTTTAGTGCCATGCAGCGCGGTTGAGATATACTTCATGCACTGCAGAGTAGTCGTTGCAGAAAAGGTAACTACAAAGACCCACAGTACTTGCAAACTGCAAACTGCAAGCTTGCCATGTTAAAATATCACATAGACATTCAGTTTTTTGAATAATATTCGAAAATCGACTAGTATTCGAAAATCGAATGTTATACGATATTTGAATGATATTCGATTTTCGATTTTTGAATAGTATATGATAGTCGAAAATTCGAAATTATTGGTTTTGAATATTATTCGATAATCGCAGATTCAAACAAATTCGAATTTCAGAAGTTTACTGCACAGGTATCACTTGTTAGGCAGTGTACTAACAGTGACCCCTATACCGGAGGTTCTCAGCGTAACCGTACAGTAAAAAAGAAATCAGTGATTTGCTCCTTACTGGTTTTGAAGCCAGTTTCACAGAGTGGTACTTTAGACAAGGACTTTCCGTTCTCTAATCTTATGTGCAATAGTAATCTAATAATAGATAGTCGAAAATTCGAAATTATTGGTTTTGAATAATTAATAATAATGGGGACGAGTGGCGTAGTGGTATGAGGTGCCGCTATGACCAGATCGGACACAGGTTCGATCCCCGCCCTGGGCCAACCAAGCCCTCTACCCTTCGGGGCCGGTAAATTGGTACCAGAGTAATCTGGGAGGATAAAAGCACTGACTTGGAAACGGCTGGCCCCCGCAAGTCACTGTAATAGGCTCGCACGCATACAATTGCCTCTTCGACCATGAAGTTAGTGTGTGCGTTCGGCGCATGCCCTCAGAGGGTATTGAAGACGCCGAATCCTTTATCCTTTTTTAATAGATTAATGTGCAAAGTGAGAAGACCTCAGAAATATGTCGGCAGATTTAGAGGCGTTTTCAAGGTAAAAGAAATAGCTAATTTTTCGAGATTAATGGCAAACAAGTTTGTTCCTGCATCACTATACCCTTCACTATAAATCATCCAAACGGAGCAATAAGTTGTACAAGCCGCGTTCAGATTGTATGACCCTGTACACCATCAGAGGATTTTTGTATATTACTCTCATGCCAAACTGTCATTGCTGTCACCGCACACTCTAAATCTCCGAAAAAAAAACACTTAGAATAGCCAACACAAATTTCACGCAAGTGCTCTATAACTCCCCTACAATTTGATAATCAAGACCTTATAACGGGCTAAAGGTTGTTTACGTGTTTGTGTGTGTGTGTCTGTGTGTGTGTCCGTCTGTTACGAACTTCGTAGAGCGCGTTCCAGCCAGCGTTCTAAGCCCAAATTTTGCATAGCGCATGCTCCCTACATGAAAGTCTAACATGCAGAAGATTCATTGAGTGGATCCCTCAGAGATTGTGCGCCAAACGGATCCACCTGGCTTCTGTCCCGCAAAATTGGGTCCGTATTATCACTTTTTGCAAAGCTATGGGTGTGTTTGGTTAGCAAATGTGCAAATGATGGACTTTAGCTCAAAATGTGGTCAAAAATTTACTACATAACGAAAACGGTGCCAAAAAGAATTGGTTGCGTAAATGGTCAACATGTCAAGGTTTTAGCCAAGCATTTCAAAAGATTAATTTCCATGTTCCGTAGTCATTAAACCTGGGCATGTTCGTAAGTGTCGAATATTGTTGTGCCGAACAGGTTGTTAGGTGGTCCTTTTATTATCAGTACTCTTCCGCCTTACGTTTCGACGCTTTCGTCTTCATCAGAGGCCTGGAATGGTTCGAAGCTTCACCCGTAACTCCAGCCCATCAAACGTCTCCGCCAGCCCCTGCCAGTTCTCGGCCCTTCCCCCAATCTAGTGCTATAAAATTTGTTATGACAAAAGACATACCAGGGAACCACCGCTTCGTTAGATGTCCGTACCGGATGTAGATGTTCGTGACGGACGAGTGAGCTATACTGAGGGATGTCACATAAACAGTTATAGCTCACATAATGATAAGAACGGGAGAAAATCAGCGGTTATGGATAAGCACTCGTTTTTGTTGTTCATTTCTGGATTCTTTGCAGAAATCCAGAACGATTCTAAGGCTTTCCTAGCCGAGATCTCTTTTTCAAGCGTTAGGATTGCAACTTTGATATCAAAGTCATCTCCACCATGCGATTCGTGTCTGTCTGTGTCTGCCAAGCGGCGAAGCCAAGTTCTTGCGCCTTTTATCTGACAAATGCTCTTTGATGCGAATGCCAAGTGTTCTTCCTGTTTCCCCAATATAGCGTGCATCACATTTCCCATTACATTATTGTTGCATTACATTTTTCATTACATTACGTTCTCCCCTGCACAGAACATCAATGCTGGGCTCTACCGAAAGGTAGTAGGAGGTCTGCACAAGCTTAGGGATTTACTTCGACTGAAAGCCAAGCGCGCGAGTGTTCAACATCATTCTGCTGCTAACGATCAAAGACCGTTACTGACGATCCCATTCCCATCGTCCTTCTATAGACAACCTGAACCAAATTTTTGTGTAGACATGTAGTTCCGGCTCTTATGTTCTGGTGTCTTATTGTTAGAAGTCTTGACCAAGTCAGAACGAGAGCGCCAAAGCAACCTTTCACAAAATCAGTGGCAAGGTTTGAAAGAAATCCGTGAAATAATCTCGAATGGTTCTGTACGTCTATCAGTAAGCGACAAGGGCGGCGAATTTGTAATAATTCCGCAGGAACTGGATCGTAAAATAACTGCAGCCCACCTCGCAGACGCTACAACGTATGCAGTGGTCTCTGAAAAAGAATATCGAGCCCAATGTAAAAAAAACTTAATGAGGCATGGACTACGATTGCAAAATCTGCCGGACTTGTTGATAGTCTCGTAAGCAGATTGAAAATGACAGTTCCGTCCTGTCCAGTTTTTTACAGCCTTTTGAAGACCCATAAGCTTTCCGAGCACGAAATGAACTCAATGTCAGCGGCAACTTACAAAATTAGACCAATTATCAGTTTCGTAGGCGGCCCCACCGATAGGATTTCATGGTACCTAAATAAGATCGTGAGCCAGCTGCTAACGAAGGTACCAGCACACTTATCCAACGCACGCGAGTTCGTGGAACAGCTTCGCAACGCTAAGTTTGATTCGAGCACGGTAATTGAGTCGTTTGATGTAACGTCTCTTTACACTAATGTGCAGAATGACCAAGCTTTGCAAGCGTTATCGGAAATGTTGGATAGGCATGCTGATACAATAAACATGTTTGGACTTAGCAAAGCGCATACGATGGCCCTAGTGAAAGAATGTCTAAAATGCGCCATTTTCAGATGTCTGGGACTTATTACTCCCAGGTACGTGGATTAGCTATGGGCCAAAGGCTAGCACCAATTCTCGCCATATGCTTTATGAGCAGAATTGAAGAGCCAGTCCTAGCACGTATGCCATTGATGTACTGTCGTTACATCGATGAATGCTGTGTTGCAACTTCAACACAGTCCGAAATGGACGAGTGTTTCAGAATTCTTAACCAGCAATCACAGTACATCAAGCTCACAGTGAGGTACCTCGCGATGGATGGCTGCCTTATCTCAACGCTCAAGTAAAGGTGACCGCTGGCATTGTAAAAATCAAATGGTATCGCAAGGAAAGCTCCAAAAATATCCTCATCAATGTGAAAACCGGACATCCTGCTTCTGTGAAGCGTGCTGTCATTGGTAATATGTTTAGAACCGCGATGCAGATGTGCAACGGAGAGGAAGAGCGATGCGAATCACGCAGACTGGCTACCCAAATAGCTTGCAGTAACGGTTACCATTCTTCATCGCACGTTCACCATCGAAGAAATGGCAACAACATTCGGACTGATAACAAACTTCCACTTTGCTTGCCATTCATTTCTGATAAGATCAGCGCGGCTATACAGAAGTGCATCGTTCGTGCGCAGCTGCAAGATGATATTATGTTAGTGAACGTTCCCAACGATAATATCAAAAAACAGCTCGTACGTAACAGGTTCTACGATCAATACTGCAATACAGAGCAATGCATGATATGCCCGCACGGCAGAATGGGTGACTGTGCGAAGATGGGAGCGATGTATCAGCTTGAATATATGAAATGTAATGCACGCTATATTGGGGAAACAGGAAGAACACTTGGCATTCGCATCAAAGAGCATTTGTCAGATAAAAGGCGCAAGAACTTGGCTTCGCCGCTTGGCAGACACAGACACGAATCGCATGGTGGAGATGACATTGATATCAAAGTTACAATCCTAACTCTTGAAAAAGAGATCTCGGCTAGGAAAGCCTTAGAATCGTTCTGGATTTCTGCAAAGAATCCAGAAATGAACAACAAAAACGAGTCCTTATCCATAACCGCTGATTTTCTTCCGTTTTTATCATTATGTGAGCTATAACTGTTTATGTGACATCCCTCAGTATAGCTCAATCGTCCGTCGCGAACATCTACATCCGGTACGGACATCTAACGAAGCGGTGGTTCCCTGGTATGTCTTTTGTCATAACAAATTTTATAGCACTAGATTGGGGGAAGGGCCGAGAACTGGCAGGGGCTGGCGGAGACGTTTGATGGGCTGGAGTTACGGTTGAAGCTTCGAACCATTCCAGGCCTCTGATGAAGACGAAAGCGTCGAAACGTAAGGCCGAAGAGTACTGATAATAAAAGGACCACCTAACAACCTGTTCGGCACAACAATATTCGACACTTACAATTTCAAAAGATTTTCGCTCAGAGTTGTAGCTCACGATTATTACTGCCTTTATGGCGACTACCAAGCCATAACAAATTCAAAAAACTATTCAAATTTGCGTTTGTCTTCCTGTGAAAAGTTTCATCCGCGCGAGATCATCGATCTTACGTGAAAAAGCTTTTTAAATGAGTAGTTGTTTACATTTTATTCGTGGTAGTCGGCATAGTGCGGTGAGTTCCATTGCCACAATTCTACGAGATTGAGTAAAGCACATAGATAGTAGGGCCAGTGTGAGCCTCTGCGAAGCAGAGGTGGCAGTGGTTTATCATAAGCATAATGATGAGCATGAGCTTTTGTAGAACAAGTTTAATAGCGATAGAAAGGCATTACAGAAGAAGACTGCATGCTTAACATTATACAGTTTTGAATGTGTTTCATGAACACTAGATTCTGGATTCTATTCACAGAAATCCTAGTGTTCTTGTAGACGTTTCACCGTCTCCTCGCCTGAAAAATCGAGTTATCGCTAAAAAAGTTGAAGCTGTGTGTATTACTTGTAAGAAATGCTGCAAGAGCGGGGAATTCTTTCTTGATATCTTCCTTGGCATTGTCAGACAAGGTCTTGTACTTTTCAATAACGCCCAGTGTAAGATCTTTCACAGCAGAAGGAGACGCTTCCTTAGGATTGTCAAAGTACTTACTCATCTCCACAAAGTCCATTATCTGAACACAGTACTTCATTATCTTGAAATGAAAGCAAATCGCCCACTTTTTTAGTGAAAGCTTGTCCTTCGGGTTTGAGCGTAGCGATTTTTTTGTCCATCATATCATTTACTTTTTTGATTTTTGCTCCGAGCTCGGGAGATTTCTTCGTCACTTCAGCAACGAACTGTAATAGGAAACGTTCCGGATCTTTATACATGTCTACTCTAAACACTGCTCAGGTAATGTGGCAATTTCGAATCCAAATAAAACATCAAATGTTGTAAATTTTTTACTCTTATATAAAAAGTTTAATATATGTTTGCATTTACGTCTGTGTATATTTTGAGTCGTTCCCAAAGTTCTTTCCATTTTTTTCGAATTATCATGCAACCGCGTGGAATAAAGATGAGTAAACATTTCAAAACTATTCGACGCGTTTTCTTCCTTTTTCTAGAGGTTGTGCTTTGATATTTGCTCTTTTGGTCACAAGGATAATTGCAGAAGTTTTGAACCCATGATTTTCACCATGCCCAAGTTCAACAATTTTTCACATTTTTCATTTTGAATTTCTGGAGTATTTTGCTTAATAGCTGGATAGAGCAAACAAAGTGCAACATAATGAATTTTTTGACATCTCCAGCTAGCTTTCCATAGTAAACAGAATTATCTTTCTGATGCCATCAAATTCTATGTTTGGTTCAGCCAAGTCTCACGAAACATCAACCGAAGAGCAAATCGGGTGTTATTCGATGCAGCTTTCTCTCGTTTTTCTGATAGGCTTTTTTGTTCCCGATATGTCCAGTCTTCGAAGATGAAATCTTGAAAAATGTGTATTTTCGGATTCACCTATAGCTATATCCGAAATCTCAAATTTCGATCTTTCGTGGCAGTAAAAGCCCGTTTGCTTTGTTAAAGTAGTGATAAATGATAATCGAGTTTTGAAACTTTCAGATTCCAAACATTTGGTGTTTGATGCGTTTGCGCACCACAAAGTGAACACTTTTGAAAAAAGCATCTTAAAAAATACTGGAAAGCTAATTGAAGATACCCAAAAATTTGTTATATTGCACTTTGTTTGCTCTATCCAAATGTTATAACCGTTCTTTCAGGAGTTAAAACCAAAACTTTTGAGAAAATGCCAGACCTTGGCAAGACAAAAACCTTAGGTTTGGAATTTTGGCGATTATTTTACTACTCACCATGCTTTTTGAGATGCTCAAGTTTCACAATTTTTCTAAACTTTTATATCAACTCTTCGAAAGAAACCAAGTAACGGTTCAATAGAGCACCTCAGAAAATACGCCGCAGCTTTTTTTCTCGTTCCCATATCTCGCCAGGATTTACTAAAAGATTTTTCACTAAACCATCGATTTTGGAAGGCCTACGTCAGCCACATTCGCATCAAACACCAATAAATCTTCGGAATCTGAAACTTCAAAAATGATGCTATGGTTTGGCACTAATTTTACAAGGCGAGTGAGGGTTTACGAAATCGAAATATCTAATTTCGAATTTTTCGGGTAGAGCCCGGTACGCTTTCGAAAATGTGAATTACAATGATTTTATCCCCGAAAATTCCACGAAACGGAATAGGGTGATCCAAAAGTAATGGGGCGGCTAGAGAATAAATGCAGTTTTCTCAAATAGAAAAGCTAATTGGAAGTCCAAGTTTTGGCAGATGTTAGTACATAACAAAACCTTCTGATCGAGGTCTATAGTTGGGCACTGTCACATGGCGTTAATTCTATAAGCGCTCAAAACTGAAGCTCACCACTTCAAGTAATTTTGAACTTTGAGCAGCAACGCCGCAGTAAAACAAGTGAGCCTACCAGAGATACGTGCGCAGCAATGGGTGAGGGGACTGTCACCAAATCCACAATAGCTCGGTGGTCCCAAGGCTTTAGAACAGAAGATATAGCATCGGGTATCAGGAGACATATTACTTATTCTTTCATCAAGGTAATCAAATAAGCCCAAACTTAGCAGTTGCTTTTTGATAGCGCTTTTTGAGCTCTATCCATACACATGCAAATTACTTTGACTTTTCTCATTTTCAAAAGATTGTGTCCCAAAACATGAATTATAGCCTGAAAATCTGCACCAAACACCGCACTTTTTCGAATAAAGTGCCTTTTTTGTATAAAATAATGTGCAATCTTCAAATATTCAAGTAATCATTAGAAAGAGTTTGGAAAGCGCTTTCGAATGGTATGCCATATGTCGAGGGACTATCAGGTGCAGCGGCCCAAATTCGAATGGCGTTCAAAAAAGTCTGTCTGACTTCTTTGGAGCGCCACTCGAAGAAATGTCGGTGAGGTGCTGCAAGGTGCTGTCAAGATAACCTGCGAAGGTCACTTTATACAAAGGCGTTAAAAATGCTAGGCGTTCTTAGCTAATCAGAAAGAAATCTTGAAGAATGTTAAAAAAAATCAAGGTGCCTCATTACTTTTGGATCACCCTAATAAAAATTACCCCTTAGAAAGATGAGAAAAAGCTGCATCGAATGACTCCCAAGCTGCTCACCGTTTGATGTTCTACGAGGTTTAAGTTGACCATGTATGAAAATTGGTAGCACCAATCAAAACTCTATCAAAAAAAAAAACGACGAGTTATGGGAGAAAAAAATTGTTTTGTATTCCGTACTGTTTGCGCTCGCGAGTCTGACTTATTGTTAGTCGTACTAATAAGATTTATAGGGGGTTTTTCAATCTCTTATCGCCATTGCTTCGTTTTGAGTTCTCTTCTAGGTTAAGGTAAACAATCCTGTTCCTGGCAAAATTTATTTGATCTTGCTTACATTTTTCGCTGTTTCACGATCTGAGTGATGGATCATTGTCAAAGAAAGCTTTTAGCTTTTAGCTCTACTACGGCGCTATCCATTTATTTAAAAGATAAGAACTAGTGCTGAACGGAGACTTTCAACTAAATTTCATCGTCCTACCCTTTTACGCGTGGGTGTTTTCATATTCAGTTTGAAGCTATGCTACTATCTAGAATTATTTTGACGATATTGCTATGCTGGGTGAGCTATGATTGCGAAGCAAGGTCTTTTGTTTCTTTTCCGTCTTGAGATTGGATCGTCGTCTGCTATGAATGCTTTTGGTACTTTTTTGTTTCTGAAGTGTTCTGCTGTGCCGTTCTAGCGATATCGTTGTGGAACGATTTTGATGTATCGTTGTGGAACGATTTTGATGTACTATTCTTGCTTTTGTTCTTCTTTATTATGCGAGTGGAGTTCACGCGTATTTGAACAGCCTCAAAACTGGAACTAGGTGACAATCCGTTATGCAAATCGTTCACTTCAAAATAGTAGAATTGCCTTGAAAACTTAGTAGTTGAACGAAACTTCGATTTGCACGAACATCTTTCATAAAACGTAGTAGGAAAGCTTTCAAATTAGAAAGAGTGAAATAAAAAACGTTTAGCATCATCGCTTACGGAGCATAAGAGGAGCCTCAAGACACAAAAGACATCAAAAAGCTTCGCTTTTCAATTATTAGGTTGAACCGAAATTTCTGTCGCACCATTTAACTTCCTTCCCTCACAACGATTTTGCGCAACTCAAATTTTATCTGAAAGTGTAAAGCATATAGTTACTAAAAGTCCCCTGGGGACTTTCCAACATGCTCAGGTCGCAGAGATAAAAATGATAGAACGAGATCGTCCGAAATTCGGAATTTTTAAGCAAGAATTCTGAAAATTCAGAAACTGTGCGATAAAATCCATAAAAGCCATTATTCTGATTTTTCTTATATTTGATTACTAACCGAGTCAAGTTTGTACTGATCGAGCTCTTCTTTCAAAAGTTATGATTTTTTTTTGAAAGAAAATATCGAAAAATCAATTTCTTAAGAAATCTTAGGAAATTGATTTTTCGGCATTTTGTTTCAAAAAATCATAACTTTTGAAAGAAGGGCTCTATCAGCACAAACTTGACTCGGTCAGTAATCAAATATAAAAAAAGTTAGGATAATCGCTTTTCTGGACTTTGTCGCACAGTTTCTGAATTTTTAGAATTCCTGCTTAAAAATTCCGAATTTCGGATGATCTCATTCTTTCATTTTTATCTTTGCAACCTGAGCATGCCGGAAAGTCTCCAGAGAACATTTGGAAACTACGTGCTTACGCTTTCAGATAAAATTTGAATTGCGCAAAATCGTTGTGAGGGAAAGAAGTTATGATTTTTTGAAAATGGTGCGACAGAACTTTTGGTTCAACCTAATATATCTTATCGTTTATAAGCTCCTGCAAGACGAAGGCGGTTGATTCGATGTGTGACGTGGTTGTGACGCAGCTGTGACGCGGCTGTGACGCAGCTGTGTCGCAGGCGCGTTGCACATCGAACCGATTTCTTGCAGGAGCTTATACCCGGCATAGCAAGATCTCCAAAACGAATGCTGAAGCGAAACAAAGTGCCGTTATGGAACTCGCAAATATCCCACCAGTGAGAATAAGTCCCCACTAGGTGATCCACGGAAATCTGATCCGTTGCGCCTCGGCTGCCAAAGGGGCAACGTTGAGGTCTGGAAGCTTCTTCGAGTTTCACTTGGAAATCAAAATTTCTTGGGTGTGTGGTAAGACATGTGGTTACAACAACTATTCTAAACCTGCAGATTGTTCTTCTGCTGGAAAGTCCCGATTTTGAGGCAGCGTCCCAGCAAAAAGATTGGTGCCGGGTTTTTGTGGCGATGTTAATGTAGACCCCCTACCGAAGCAATGACTGAAGTTTGGAGCGAAAAAGGGGGCCTACCAAGCCTGAAACTTGCTGCGAGAGTGGTCCGGATCTTACGGTAGGCCCGGATGCCAACCACACAGCGATTTCGAACTGCAAGGCCAAAGCACGCATAACGCACAAGTCATGAGCGCAGGGTCCCTCAACGAATCTGCGTCTCTACCCCGCATGCATCTCGTACTCGTCCGAGCCTAACGTAAGATCCACGCCACCTGAGGGGCGATTTGTAGACTTCGTCGACCACCTTTTGCGCTGCAAACTTCTGTCTTCGCTTAGTTAGGGGTCTATTATTACACTACTACCAGGGCCAGGTACCTCCCGGTCCGGTGGGACGCTGCCTTTGAAACTCCCGCCAGAGTGCCGAAGACACGTCAGCGCTGCGGCGGCGCCGAGCCAGCGCCGAGCTGTCCCGGCGCTGTTTTGATCGATACACATATATTTCATTTGAGGCGGGTTTAACTAACTTAGTTCTCAGCCAGGTAAATGCACCGACTATTGATCGAAATCTCTGTCAAAAGCTCCGGTAGCTTTGCCCGCACAGCGCCAGCTAGCCCCGCCCCGAACGAAATGCAGCATCGATTGAGACAGCGCCGGGACAGTCGGCGCTGGCTCGGCGCCAACGCACCTCTAGCGTGGCTTCGGCACTCTGGCGGAAGCCTAAAAGCGGGTAGAGGAACGAACACCTCAATTAGGTACCGCCTTCGCGGACTGCTGGTCCTTTCGTCCTACTGTTGTGCATCGTGTAGGGACCAGTAGTCCGCGGAGGCGGTGCCTAATTGAGGTGTTCGTTCCTCCACCCCCTAAAAGCAACCCATAGCATGTTTACGCCTTTGGAATGAGTGGTCATTTATCATTCATTTTGTGACCAGGATACTCGAAAATGCTCTGCATATAGCTGAGTAGCGGTGGTACGTGGATACGTGTGCGCTACTTCGTCTTGGATTGTACCACTCAAATCAGAAAAGAGAATGTGTTTGGGCTCATCACATGTACAGTTCTCGAGTATAGGCACGCAATTTATGACGCATTCTGCGTGAAGTTCATCAGAAATTTGGAGTGAAATTTCTTCATTATGCTAGCAGGAGCAACAGAACAGATTTGGCGGTCGTTGCAGTCTTCAACTAAAGTATCTCCGCCGCCATTTACAGGGTGCTCGTGGAGGGACCATCTGTGTTTCAGTGAATTTGAGAATGAACGGCTGTCGAATCTGTTTTCTAAGGAAGGCGACTCTGACATACAAGAAAACTCCAGACTCAGCCTATCAGAGAAGTATACTAACTTGCGGTCGAGTGATGAGTTCGAGGGTTTTAACTTGTTCAAGGCCATCTTTAGGTCTCTTGGCACAGTAATTATGCTGATCAGAAGTGTGCTATCACGCCACTATATTAATCCACCAATTTCGCTACACAGCTTTCGTTCGTGATTTCGCACAAGTTAGAAGGAGTATTTGAAAGATGAGTTTCCATATGCATATGGAAATTTTGTGCTTCACATCTTTGTTGCTTCTTTCCCTTTGCTCCTTATTTTGCGAAGCATTCCTTGGTTCTCTTAAGCACCGGCCATACTATTCTAGGAGGTGATTCCAGCGATTCCTGTAAATCCTGCGACGCCTGTGATTACGATTTACGATGTCCCGCACTATGGAACGCTTTGCGAATCTGAATACAAATATTGTTTTGTGTTTTTGAGCCAAAACGAGATTATTACAGACTTTTATTGGCTTACGTTTCGGCCACTTCGCCGTCCTCAGAGCCTGAATGGGACGATATATCGTATCATCGTATATATCATATCGTCTCATTCAGGCTTTGAGGACGGCGAAGTGGGCGAAACGTAAGCCAATAAAGTTCTGTAACAATCTCGGTTCTGGCCAAAAACACAAAACAATATTTAAACAAGTATGCCGAGATTCAAAGAAAGTCGAACATTTGAATACAAATAGTTTTTTCGCAGTATACAATGTTGCGGGTGCAAGAATCACAGGAATCGCAGGAGTTGCATGGATCACAGGAATGGCCGGTCCTTTATATTGTTGGTTCGGCAAAAGATGTAAGTTTTTTATTTTGCATGCGTTATGACGGTTGAAATGATTTTCCCCGGCTTTTAGTGGTGCAGAAATACTGGTCCTTGACCTGCACTTTCTTTGTGGGAGAGTCCACCTGTTGCAGTTTCCGATTATCAATTTCAGGTACTGCCTGATCTAGGATAAAACGAGTTGTGTTCATCAAAAAGGTATCTATGGCTCGAAAAGGCACTTAAACAAGGGAAATCATATCATGCAAAGCTTTGTAATCCTTTAGGAAAAAGGGTTATAATCTACAGAAGCTCGTTCATTAACAAAAAGTGTGAGAAATCCTACAAAAAGGTTGCAGAAAAAAGATCTGTTGTCCGTAACTCTACCAGCCTTCATCATATGCCTCAACGGTATTTTTGGCACCAGCTCAATCCATCTCGTGGTTGGAGATATCTCGCTGGTTTACACCGCGCAAATTGCCATTCTCGGGAAGAATTAAACAAATGGATTAGTTCGATATGAGATATTCTAGCAACTTAGGTCGTCCTTCCTTGGTAAGAGGTAAACAAAAAAGGTTCGGTCACGGACTCAGAAAATGCATGATAGAACGAACCAGAATTTAATAGCAACGTAGCAGCGCCACCCCCAGAAGTGCCCCCCCTCCCCGCATCGACCTTACCATTAAGAAAGTGATTACCAAACAACTACAAGGTAGGTAGTTCGACAAGAGAAAACTTCTTCTGCACGTGGTATGAAGTGCAAGTGCAAGCGTGAACTTGGTCGACCCTTCTGACTTTAGCGAACTTCACGAGATGTCAGCGCTCGTTTACAGTGATTGAACAGGTGGTCCCAGCACGAATGCCCTGTAGATGCGGCGGTACTGTAGTTGAAAATTGCAACGACTGCCAAATCTGTTCTGTGCAGGAGCAGAGCGCGTAGATATTGAAGGCATCTACTTCTTCGGCAACTCGATTCGAGTTCTAGAATCTCAACTGCTTTGTGCTTGCGCTCATGCTCAAAGGCCACTAGAACTTAAAAAGGCCTACAATAAAGCCAGTGCATAGATGGGAGAGGTGTGCTTCAGGTGCGAAGCTACTACTCTTGCATTTGAATTTGTAATGAAAAGTTAATGGATTATAGTGAGTAAGCAAGTCAGTCAAGCCATACTGAGCTTTAGAGCGCTGGCACTTGGATGAACAGACGCATTTTTGCGCTCGCGGATGTGAGCATGTGCACTAAGTGCATACTTCAGTTCTACCATGTCATAACGACCTCAGATTTGCTTGCACATTGCCTTCAACAAAGTGAATCGCACAGAATGATGTTCAGAAACAAGTGGTCACAGTTTGGATTTCAGTGGCTCTTGTTGGATCACTTGCCCATACCTTTTTGATGTCGCTTTCGTTAATGAAAAAAAAATGTTGATAAAGCATAAAGCTGAGTTTCTGTGTGTAGGCCCGCCCCCTCATCGCGCTATGTATGTAAATGTTACGATCCAAATAGGAAATATCGTTTGTGAAAAGATTCAGCCCAACCTTACATACATACAGTTACGGGTGTTAGGCTGCTTTTTCTTATCGATCGATATCACGCCTATCAATTTTTTGCATATTTTGTGTTACGGAGGGTGGCACAGGTGGCCTGCAAGCAAGCTGGATATCGTTGGGACAAAAAGCGAAGGGGGTATCGTTAGAGGCTGAGAAGACGCAAAAACTGTGACGTTTTTTCTAGTCGACGTTTCGTATTTTTGGAATATTTTTACGTTCAAGGTTTAGGGTCAAAGGGGGATTCGTAAAAAATCGCGAAAGTCAAGAGTAACTTCGTTTTTTGCATATTCTGAAAACACCTCGTGCCGAGCCCTGCACATGAGGCATGTGAGCGTGCTGATTTCATATAGAACCTCCTGCAAAGATACGTATTGCTTTTGTCAACTTTATCGATTCCTCGCAAACTTTGAGCTACGGATGGGAGCTGGTGTAGGATAAGTGAGCAGGCTGATCACAAAAACAGAGGGCAGGAATCTTACATATAGAAATGGGACAGGGACAGGGAGTTCTGTGTACACGTGGGACGGAACGGTAAGTTGCAGCATGTTGAGTTGATAAAACCGAATAAAGCCGGGTATCCCAGCCAGTAGTAGTAAATAAAAGTGGCACTAGAAGTACAGTGCTGATCATGAGAACCTTACAATACCATGTCTTTCTTTGAAGGCAGTGTCCGATCAAAGATGGAGGTCATTAAGATTCCGTGTTGAAGTGAAACTCCCGGTTATCACGCAAATGCGAAACCATGAAACTCCCGGTCACGTTATCACGCAAATGCGAAACCAATCTAAATTAGTGAAATCGTCAGGAAAGGTGGAATTTGCGTTATAATGTTCTCGCCGATCGGAAATTTTCCTCCTAGTGGCAGAGTGCGCATGTCGTCACAGTCAAGATAATAGAGTCCTACATACCGCGGCTTTGGATCTTAGTCGTGAAAGGAACTTTTTCACCTGTCCTGATTAAAAGCAAAGGTTTTGAGAAGTTTGCTTCCGCCATTTTCGAGCTTTTTAAAGTGATTTTTGGGTTCAGTGTAGCACATAGGCAAAGCTGCAAACTGAGTTTTTGCTTTGACTTTGTCTTGAAGTGCATGTGCGCTTCGAGCAACTACGATCTAGAGCATTCACTTCCTTTTTGTGGCCAAGAAATTGTGAAGGAATATTACCTCTTCCTCACTGTCACTTGCGGTAGCTGAGCCAACTTCCGTCAAGACAGTAATCTCTTTGTCGTTGAGATTATTAATAATCTCCTTGGCCTCAACAGGAAGAAGTTCTAAACGACTGCTGTGATTCTCTCATACTGCGAGGACGAGCATACCAAAATTGAACCACAGGACTTTCAACCCAGCTTTCTCTTCGCTGCTGAGATTACTTGCAAGTTTGTTCGCCTCGATAGGAACCTCTAAACAATTATCATGGCTCTCACATGATGTGAAGGAGAAGCTTACCCATGTATTGCTTCGAAAAATTGATTACATCACTGAACTTCAAGGTAAGAACGACAGCATTGAGAAAAGAACAAATGACAATGAGTGATTTTATCATCTCTGAAATTGAATTCTGCGTTGATATGTCGCTTATTGCATAGGATTCATTGACATAGTTGTAGCTATTACGTGCCAGCGCAACTGAAAAGATGGCTGAGGTTTTGACTTTGGTGCAACAAATATACAATTCAGATTCTATTAAGGTGATCGGAAAGTAATGGGGCACCTAAAAAATAGATGTAGTTTTTTTAAACAGAAAAATCAATTGAAGGTCCAAGTTTTGAGAGATGCTAGTATATTAGGTTGCTGCATAAGTTCTGTCCGATTTCTTTTTTGCCTTATGTTTGAAGCAGCTGTTCCGAGAGAGTTTCATCTTTAATGCAGTATTGTTAGTATCATTAAAAAGCGCTTTTCTTGCTCTTTCTAACGCGTTCAGATTTCAATAAATTTCTTAGTGTATGGAGATTTTAGGCCTAAAATCTCTGAGTGGCCGAGGTACGTTCTCACTCTAGAAATATGTTCGTGCGAGGAAATTTCCAGAAAGCGCCCTTCAAATCAAGTTCTTTCATTGGCTGCGGAATAAGGGTGTAGAAGGTAGAAGGCTAGTGTATGCAGAAGTTCGGTTCCATGAAGGACTTCTTGCAAGTAAAATTTATCGTCGAACATTGATTTCTTATAGCTGTTTTACAAGCAATAACTTTCTGCGAATAGAAGTAATCGATAACCTCAAAGTTGGAGGTGCTAGGACAAAGCAAGAGCTAGCAGGGCCCATTCACCAGCTCCTTTTCGGCGCTCAAGTCAGTTGTAAAAATTTCAAATTCGTAAATAGGCATGCACACATGTGCTGAAGCGAGGCCAAAAAGTGGCTTCTTTTTTGCTTGGTCAAAAAATCTCTCGGCAGCGCAGACCTAATAGGTTTTTAATGTTCAAAATAATCTACGAAAATTTCTCTATCTATCCATTGTTAGATAAGATGCTTATCAATTCTCATAAGGGAGCGTTGCCATGTCAAAAAAGACAGATTCGAAGAAAAACGCTGTGTAGTTTTTGCATTCTTGCTTCTTCCTTAACAAGGATTTGCGCAGGTCTCAATATGTGTTTCATAGCCAAGGAACTGCTCTACAAATAGAAACTAAAATCTTGGAAAAAAGTCGACTTTGAAAGAAGTTACGCCGTTTTGAACTCAAAAAATTCAAATCGGACAGAACTTATGCAGCAACCTAATATATCAAAATCTTCTGATCGGGTCTATAGATAGGCACTGTGTGGCATCGTGTTTATAAGTGCTTAAAATCTAAGCTCGTCACTTCAAGTAATTTCGAACTGGAGCAGCAGTAAAACAGAGAGGCTGCCAAAGATATATATGATGCAATGGGCTGGAAGGCTGTCACCAAATCTACGATAGCAAGGTTTAGCCCAACGCTTTCAAAGGAAGATATAGCCCTAAGTATTAGGAGACATATTACTTATTCTTTCTTCAAGGTGATCGAAAGGGCTCACCTTTGATGAATGGCATTTAATAGAGCTGTTTGCGCTCTATCCATACGTACGCAAATTACCTCGAGAAAACCCCGCATTCAAAATTGTGGGCAAACACGTTTTCTAGCCTGAAAATCTGCGCCAAATATTGTACTTTTGCGGATAATCTGCCTCTTTTACGAAATGAAGAATTTCTGCGTTCAAGCTATCATTATCAAGAGCTTGGAAAGGCTTTCGAATGGTATGTCATATGCCCAGGGACTTCAAGGTGTACTGCAGTAAGTTGAATGGCGTTCAAAAAAGTCTCTTTTTTTGAATCCCCGCGAAGGATTGTAGGAAATGAGCTACAAGTTGCTGTCAGGATAACTTTATGCAAATGCATCTTTGCTGCTGGTTGCTTACTGTTTCTTAGAAAAAAATCATCGAAATTGCAAAAAAATCGAAGTGTCCTAACACTTCCCGATCACCCTAATAGTAAAAATCACCTTAATCGGTGTTGTGTACAGTCGAATTTTTATCCAAACACATTATAAGAAACCTTCAGGATCTTTTGTAAACAAATATAGCATTCATCTGCAGCTTTATCATTAATTCATGTTTTGGAGTAGATACATGTTCAGGTGAAATAGGGTACAAATATAGCGCTGCTTAACAGAGCAGCGCAATTAAGGAAAAAATTTTAATTAGTGTTTGAGCAGCATAATCATCATTGACTCATTGAAAGGAGCAATTTGAATATTTAAGAAGTTGTGACCTTATTTCATGTGACGGATGTGACAAAAATTTTAGGTATATGAATTCTCTGTTACCCACAAAAATGATGTTAATATTACTGGAAAATGACACACAACACAAACATGTTCGTGACTGACACTAAAAGCTCATTTTAGGACTGTGTGCATTGTTTGTGACACCTCGTCGAGAATTGGGCCTGGATAACAGTGAAAACCGTGAAGACCAATGTCACATACAGACTCATTTGAAAGAAAAGAATTCTTTTATGTGGCCTGAACTGGATCACATTTATAGTGGCGTGCAAAACCATTGCGATAATAGGTGATTGTGCTCTAATGATGATGACGACGAAACTTTTGTGATGCAAATCAGTCTATGACAAATACCTCTATCTCGATTTTTATGACTATGACAAAATACCAGGTCCAAAGATCTAATAGAGAAAAAGATTTCAAACTAGTTTGCAGCTGTCTCACTTCCATGGTGTCAAATACTCCGGGATGCAAAATAATTACTGCCCCAGTATCCAAACATATAGGTCGTTCCAAAAGTTCATGCCATTCCTCCGATCTCATCGCGTGAATCAAGCACATTATAAGTGTCAAAATATATCACTTAGTTTTTATCCCTCTCTCCAGCACTTGTGTTTCCAAATGGTCTTTTGTGATGATTAAAAAATCGCCTAAAGTTGAAACTCACATTTCCCACCTCCAATTTCGTCTATTTTTGGGAATTTTGCTTTCAGCTACTGAGATTTGTTACACGGATAAAGTAAGGTAATGTTAGTGGCTCTTTGTGATAAGAACTTTTCCAAACAGTTTCTATATTTTGTCCCCTTTAGATCTTTATTTAATATCTAAAAATGTCAATCAGTGTGCGTACGCAGTTCTGTCCGACCTATTAGAACTTCGCGGAAACAATCCTTGTAACCAGTCCTATGAGTGCGCATGGAACTTGAATGGATTTCATGGATTTCTGAATTTTATATTTAGAGTGATGAAAGCTTCATTCACTTTGCAAATAAGTGATCCAGTACCGCCTCGCGAAAAAGTGGGCAATGCTGGTTTATACTAAGTACCTTGCAAGAAAAGTTGGAAAAGCCAAAAAAGTTTTGGCTGCGAAATGTCTGCTCCATCAGCCTCACATCATTGTAAGCCTTAAAAAGTTTGTTGCGAGTTTTGAATATTATAAAAACGATAAATGTGAGGGTTTGTTTCAACGCCAACGAGAAAACCAGTTCAGTAACATAGCTGCTGTCAAAGTGACAAAATCGCTTATCTTTATTTCAGGTGATTCTATCAGTGACTCGCGATCTGGAATCAGAGATAATGAATTCGGAAATTTGCTTAAATACATATGCAAATATGCTATACGTGATAATCGATTGCGGTTGTCTGATTGTGCTAGGAATACGCTATCCTATGCTCTCAGTCTCATGCTAATGTGAATATTCATTAAGTGGAAACATTCTATAGAGTTAAAGGAGCTCTACAAAATTATTCAAACATTAGCACAAAGATTGTTAATACGTGAAGTTGGAGCCAAGATCGGATTTCCAAATGCTCACATATTATTGAATCTATGTTCGAAAAATCCAAGGACTCTTGACTGCTTACGTATTCTCTACATTGGGCCTATATTTGTTCTCTGCAGAAAAAAATATGCTTTACCTAAAGAATATTTGAGGATCTGCAATCACCGTATAGGGCATTTGAAAAATCGTGTGGTGAATTGTGTTTTATGGCGCGGCCGCGCGCGACACCGTACCTTTCAACGACCGCATTTTCTCGGACTTCATCTCTATTCTATTAGGTTTTTTGCTTACATGTGATAGTATTTACGCGCTGGATGTGACTGAGCTGATCGTTGAGGATGCGTTTTTTGTGTGAGCGTTTTATGCTCCTGTGTGGGCGAAGGCGCAGCCAAATCCGTCGTCACGACTTTATAAATGACCTATACAATTCTGTACACAACAACTACTCTGTTTTGCTAAGTAGAGAGATTTTATTCGGAACATAACAAAGCGTTGATTTAAAATTGCCGAAAATCATAAAGAGAAAACACGCCCAGTTCAAACTAGGTCGTGGCCAAAAGTAAGAATAACATTGGATTTCCCTGGACCCTCCCGCATTTTTAGAGACCAAAAACATAAATTTCGCTTCTCGTAATCAGCTTGTATCATCTTGATTTGCCAAAATAGATTTTGCTTTTAGCAGGAAGCACATGATTTTCTCTCTCTAATAGTAATTTATGTTGCATTGTTGAAAGCACAAATACTTACAATTTTTGAAGATTCTGTCTAAGGCTTTTAACCGGTCTATAAAATGATGTGTAGCTGCTGTATTTTTCCGTACGCTAGATTATGAGAAGAAAAGTGGATCTGATAAACCTTCCTCATGCTAAATTAGATTGAAAACTTGCTCTTGAAGACGGTACAATATTTATGGATATACGTGCGGAGGTTTTAGGTGGACATAATCAAGAGCAGTCCAGGCATTCTCTTGGTAAGAGCATGAGAATTTCATTTCCACAATTGTCAGTCTCATTGCGGAAAATTTAAATATTGTGATGTGGAAAGTATATATGTACTTGATTTAACATACATCTATGATGTACAATCAGGGTTTGGTGCGAGCTGGTACCTGGAAATCTTGGAGAGTAAGCCAAATTTACGACATCATTATCTTACAAGGGAATGGTCAGAAGTCGACGTCACCAATCCAAGTAAGCTGCCTACCATTCGATGCAGCATTCAAAGCTGAATTCGAAGCTGTTCCCTACCTGCTTATCGCCTTTGTGGATGAAGTTATGAGTAGTTTTATTGCGAAAAAATCGTACATAAAA